CACACACACACACAAAATAAAAATCAATATATTCGCGAAACTAGGTGCCCAAGAACAGTAAAACTGCGTTTTTAGTTTTTCTTTCAGGATTTTTTTAAAGTATCTACTTTAAAACTAATATGATTAATTCAAAAAAATATTTAAATAACCCAGTGCATAACAATATGGGCATCAAATAAAAGAGATAATTCCAGAGCATTAAAAAAAAATAAAAAAAATTGTATGCCTTGGACGAACTGGTATTGAAAATGTGCTTTTAAAATTGTATCCTTAAAAATCTTCAATATTTATTTAAACAAAATTATATGTTAATATACGCGTGACCACATCCTCAAATTTCGTCCGTCTAACTTTATTAGCCTAAAGAAATACAAATAATTAAAAGGTCATTTTTCTCTATCTATTCTTTTAAAATTTGCAGAATTTTCTTTCCTTTGGTTCCCATATTACTATTCCATTTTGCACTGAATTAAAAAAAAAAACAAACAAACCTGATATCAAAGTAAAACTAGAAATCCAGTTTTACTATTGACCAGTGTTGCCAGATTTTTTTTTAACTGTAACTTTTCGGAAGATTTTTTAAAAAGTTAAGGGTTTTCAAGTGTATAACTACCAAAAAACGATTCATTTAAAATAAAACAACAAAAACCGTTTGAATTATACTTAACTAAACAAAAGTAAACTTTATAAACTGGAAAATTTAAATCACATTTGTTTTAATGAAATTTATTATTTGTTTGTTAATTTGCTTTGTTTGCTTTATTAATTTTTTTGAGCGGCCAATTCAAATGTAGTACCTCCTGAAGGATATTTTTTAAAGAAAATTTGAAAAATTGCGTTAATATTCGTATAAACCTTACATAGATAAATATATTAACACTATTAATCGCCTATTAAGAGCCTTCAGCCATGGACCACGCATCACTCAAAAACATAACTCACCCACTTTTATACAATAATCAATATTTCGTTTTTTATTTAGTTATATCAATATTTTTATCATATATGTATATTACAGTGCAGAAAAACTACACAATTATTTTTATATGCATGCTTATACATGTACACATGTATGTATACTACATATATGCTGTTGTTGTTGGTATAATCATAAACCATCTAAATATGTTACCTGTGTATGGGTTATTTTTATAGTTTTTTTTTATGTTACATACTTATGTGTGTACATATATGTATATGTATATGTATATGTGAGTGTATTTACTTCTGGTGTTTTTTTTTTGTTACTTTTATAGTTTATAAATTTTTTTGTTTATATTTTTATTCTTTTATAATTTTGTATCTATTGTCTAATTACTATTTAGCTTTTTTTAACTTTTAACATATTATTTTATTATTTTACTTGCATTTTAACCGCTTAGGAATATTAGTATTTTTTATTCAATAAATTTTTATATACTAGGTACATTTACTTTCATAAATATAATTCATTATTTTCGTTAACTTCCTCGTACGTTTTTGATTAAAATATGTTAGATATTTTGAAGTTTTTTTTGGTTCGCTTCGTCTAATATTATTTTTATATAATTTACTTTTATGCCTTATTTAATTTTATTTATTTATTTTATTTTATATATGTTATGTCTGTTTTATTTCGTTTTACATTGTTTTCATAAAATTTTTTATTTTATATATTTTTTCATTTCATTCTTTACTTTATTTAAATTTTTTCTTTACTTTCATTCACATAATATTATTTTATTTTACATTATTTTAATTTCCTTTACTTTTTCCCTTTTTTATACTTGTGTTTTTAATTTTTTTTTTATACAAATTTAATTTTTACCTAATAAAAGTTTATTGAACTAATTTAACTTTTATTTTTTACTTCAAAATTTTTTATTTAAATGAAAATTTATTTTGTCTTTTATTTTAATATTTTTCTATTTTTTTATTTTCTTGTATTTTTTAGTTATTTTATTTACTTTTATTTTTCATTCTCTTTCCTTTTTTTTGTTTATTTTCATTTATTTTATGTTATGCCTTATAATTTTTTTTTTGTTTATTTTCATTTTTTTTATGTTATGCCTTATAATTTTTAAATTTTTTTTATTTACCTCAATTCCCTTTAACTAAATGTATACTCAGCGCCTAAACCCAAAAGCCGACTTTTAACTTAAAAAAAAAATATGGAAAACGTTTTATAAATTTTATTTGAAACTTGCAAAAAACATAACTGTTAAAGAATATAACTTTAATTTTCGATGCAAAAAAAAAGAAATTGATTAAAGAAATATTTGGCGCTTATACATTTGGTGAGCCCACGCCCTGCACTTTAAAGCCGCGCTCCGAACGGCAAATCGTTTCAGACGCAAAAGCACAGCATTTACCTCATAATCGGGCTCTTTAGCAGTGTTAAAAAAAATTCATTTTCATGATTTTCAGAAAATATAAAAATTAAAATTTTCATACGATTTTTTTTACTGTAATTAGATTATTCGTTAAATAAAGGTAAACAAAATTTTTTTCTATATTTTCTGCGCTGCATAGCTTATTCAAAAGTTTGAATTTGTCGCACCACACGTCTGCTTTGCGCTTAAACGCTTCATATTTATGATTTTTTTTTTTAATTATGTTAGCTTTTCATAAAATCATTAGATTTTCCGGCAATCAGCGTTTTTCAGTTAATTTTATTTATTTTTCATTGTTATTGTTTCTTTAATTATTGCAGAAAAGCTTTTTTATTTCACTAAATTTAGTTTTGATAAGCAGCTGTCTGCTAGCAAAAAAATTTAATGCACATTTATGTATTCACTTAAAAACTGCTACCTCAATTATGTAAATATATAGGCGAAATAAAGTTTTTAAAACTGCATGTGTTTTTGAAACAAAATATTGCGATCTAAAAAAAAAATGTTAGCGATTAAAACAACAATGTCTGAATAATGAGTACGGACACGATTATGGAATTGACTAACTAATCAGTTAGATGCTTATATGGACAATTCAATGACATGAGCCATGATGACTAAACTCACACTACTACTTCCTAATCTCCAGACTTAAAATCATAAACTAATTACCTTTGTATGTATACAAATATACAAGTTTGGGCGCGTTCAGAAATGCATCAAGCCAAAGCATCAGTCTCTTTTACTTCTAAACTATAATTGATGGAAATGTCAAATATGCGCAACCACGGTTAAAAGCCGAATTGGAACTTAGTTGCTCAAATAAAACATTTCCATCAATTATAGTTTAGAAATAAAAGACTCTGATGCTTTGGCTTGATGCATTTCTGAACGCACCCTTTGTACTAATAGTAACAAAACCATATACATTTATATGTGTGTTTCTACGTCCACTGCCCACCACTCATATATGTATGTAAGTATTTTGCGTGAATGCTTTTATATTTATTTCCTCTTCAATTTTGTCACTCCAATAGTAACTGAAACCCGTAGCAATGCGCCTTTATAGTATTTTTGCAACTTTTATTTGATGTGTAGCAAAAATGACCTCTTTATTATTCTGTCACTTGAATAGTTTTCTGTGAAAATAAAGGCCTTTAAAGAGTGGGTTTGTTAATTGACCAAATCACTAAAAAAAAAACAGAAATCGCAGATATTGCGGCCGTTGTTATTACAAGGCTACTTATCTGACCTAAACATAATGGAAATTGTGTGGGAATAATGGCTTATTCGAGAAGACAGTATTCCACTAGTGCCTGATCCACTATTTCTCTAGATTACATCCACAAGCTATACGATTCTCTAGCCAACAGGATGTACAAAATTGTATTGCTTTCAAATAAAATAAAATGCATGTTAGTTACAATATTTGTTGGTGGGATATTGGAATTGAAGGAAGAGAAATTGGCGTATGCTATTCAAGTGGCAGGCAGTGTATGCACATAGAAATCTATGTACAACAGTCGAAAAAGGAATGTGAACGACGTATTACTCTCGACATACATATCGAGCCCTAACCGCCAAAATAACGCAAGCGACATTTTTTCCAAAATTTTCTTTTTGATGCAGAAATATTCCTAGAGCGTTTAGATGCATTTCTGCATCAAAAAAAAAATTTTGAAAAAAATGTCACTTACGTTATTTTGGCGGTTAGGGCTCGATATGATTACAAAAAAATAAATGAAGTCGATTGATTTGTGAAATAAGGCAATTACATTTATTTAAAAGCTCCTTCCTGACTATTAAGCTTTACAAGTATATAGTTTTGAATGATACAAACAAACTAATATACATACGTACATACAATGAAGGAATCATAAAATGTAGTGAGTGTTTTTGTTTTTTCTTTTTTCTTTTTCTTAATCTCCTGTGAGTTCAATATGTATGTATGTATGTATGTATGTATGTTTAGAGATAATTTGACTTAACATTAAAATATAGTTTTAATACATAATATGTATAATGTTTATATATACAAACAAAAATGCTTACTAATAGGCTTAGTGATAAACTTTTCAAACTTATGTACATACTTACAATGTATGTATGTAGTTTACTGTGTATGTACGAGTATATATATATATATATATGTATGATGATGTCTCATAAAACTTTTTCAATTATGTATTACAATAATTATTACAAAGCTTATACATACGTATGAGTAAGTAAGTGTTCTAATGCACATTAATGTCAAAAGCCAGCGCTGGCGTTAAAACGAATTTTGTATGCACTTTAAATATATGTAAAGGGTAGCGCTTTATGTATTTATCTACATATATAAGCAACATCATTGTACATAACTAGTAAACTTAACCCGATTACGCCGGATTTCACCAACTCAGCATCAATTTCCAAATGCAGCCAGAAATGTACAAATGCATATGTTTTACTTCTTGCTGTTGTTGCGGCCGACTTTGCCAACAACAACAATATTTTTATAGCTTAGCATAAATACAATTTGTGCTTAATCATAATCATAATCCTGAATATCGTACTAATCTAGTACTGTTTTTTTTTCAGTGTAAATGCGGCTACACTTTGGCTTAGCGTGTAATTAGTTTAAGGTTTTTTTTTTAATGTAAACTTAGTTATATATGTATGTTAGACATAAACATAAATGTTAAATTAACGTTTGCATCAACTACGCTATCTTTTAATTATTCATTTTTTTTTTGTTCCTTTTCTTCAATTAACTTTTACTTTACTCTGTAGTATGTATGTATGTATGTTTGTATGTATATCTACTAAAGCTGAACATAAGATAATGATAATTGTCATTTTAGCAAAGCGCGTCTGCATATGCATATATGCTGCTCGCACTCTCTTCAATCGTGGCTGATACGCAGCGTTATGTTTGAGGCAGCTTTGTGTGATTTTGAAAGGCAACCAGTAAATAAGCGACATCCTTCACAATTGATGTGTTTGTAGCTGTCGGTGTTGATCTAACAGCTGCGTTTGATGTTGCTGCTGCTGCTGTTGTTGTTGTTGCAGGTGTTGCTGAGTATGTTGCACCCTTTGCTGCTGCTGCTGTTGCTGTTGCTGTTGCTGTCCGCCCAACACACTGCTACTGTTGCTGGCTTCGCCACTGCCATCACCACCACCACCACCGCCACCTGCCATTGCCGCACCTGCTGCTGTCTGTCCGACTACTGCTTCATCATGGGCGGTGTTGTTGGCGCACTGCTAAAACCATGATCGATTGATATCATACGGCTTGGGCATACCCAGTGAGGATGGCCGATAGGCTGTTGGCGGCGGTGGTTGCCCATAGCCTGCTGCACCTGCGCCACGTCCCAGTAGCCCCTGATTGAACATAAGGAAATCCTCTCGCCGCAAGTAGGAGGAATATAGCTGAGAATTGGGATCAGCCAGCTGTGAGGCGCCTGTATTATGCATAAATGAGTAAGGGGTGCCACGCGGTGTTGTGTGCGCCGCCAAGAATGGGTAAGCGCTAGCGGCCGCCGATGCACCTGGATTTAGCGCTGATTGCGCTTTCTCTGCCGCACTAGCATCGCTTGCCGAGTTGCGGTGAGCGGGCGCCGGCGCTGGTGGCATATAGTAGGGGTTGGATGCATCTCTGAATTGATCTAAGTAGCTGCTGGCGGCAGCTGCTGCCGCTTGGTCGCCATATAAGCCAAGGCTGCCAGGGGTGGGTCCGAAATTGAAAGCGCTGCCCGGCACCATGCCGGTCGCCTCAGCCGCGGATGTCTTCAGCGAAATCGCAGTGGCTACATCAACGCCACTTGTGGCGGACACATTAGATGTTGCTGTTGCTGAAGCCGCGCTGTGTGCAGCCACATTGCTGACGGCTGCCGCCGCGGCTGCAGCAGCTGCGGCCGAACTGGAACTGGTTGCTGCCGAGAGCGGCGAGCCAACACCACCTGTTTTTAGGCCAGCGTACAGTTGAAAGCCTTGCTGCAGCGCCTGTGCATGCGCCTGCAAATGGGCGGGCACCCCACTGGAGCTTTGGTGTGCGGGCTGTGCTGTACCAGTTGAGCTGGTGCTTGTCAGCTGTGACATATGCGCCGCTGCCGTGTTATATTGCGACGGGTGAAGATGATTTTGTACCAACTGCTGATGCTGTTGTTGTTGCTGCTGCTGCTGCTGTTGATGCTGCTGCTGTTGTTGCAACTGTTGCTGTTGTTGTTGCTGCTGCTGCTGCTGCTGGCGCTGTTGCTGCAACTGTTGCTGCTGTTGTTGTTGCTGCTGCTGTTGCTGCAGTTTGGCAGCCGCTGCAGCTGCCGCCGCCGCTTCTGCCGCAATCGTTGTAGCCTTCTTCTTGCGTCCACGTTTCGCAGGAACTTGAACGGCCGGCGCCACTGATTTTGCAACGTCCGTTGCTGCGGCTACTACATTCTGATGCTGCTGGTTAGTCGTGTTGTTGCTGCTGCAATTGGAACTGGTGTTAGTGACGCCATACGAACCGCTCACCGCTGCTGCCGCGGACGTCAGCTGGGCATTGCCGTACATGCCAGTACCAGCGCCCATCGCAGCAATTGATGCGGGATTCGAGTACAGCTGGGATGTTGAGAGATTTTTCGCCGCGCCCGCTGCGTTATACATGTGGGCAGCTGGGGGCATATTCTTATCGTAGAACCCGGAGCTGGCAGAGGACAGGCCGAATAAGCTCTCGGCCAAGGGGTGCAGTAACGAGGCTGCCGGATTGCTGTATGTCTGCGCAGGCGGCGGTGGTGGGGTCGGCTTGTTGTAGGCCGAAAGATGGTGTGTCAGATGGTGGCTGGACATGTTCAGCATATTGCTGGCGTCCAGTGTTGATGCTGAGCCGGAGGCTGAACTTGCCGCTGCAGTCGATTTAGCAGGCAATTGCTGTTGTTGCTGTTGCTGTTGCGCTTGCGGTTGCTGCGAGTGCTGTTGTTGTTGTTGCTGCTGTTGTGGCTGTGTTGAATAGCTCTGGGTCATTTGCTGTGAATGACTTATCTGCGTTTGTTGTTGCTGCTGCTGCAGACTACTAGCGCCATAATTAAGGGGCTTGCTAAGCAGGCTGGCTGTAATGCTGTCCATGGTGGCCTTGGATAAGTGTTGAGTTTGCTGCTGTTGCTGCTGCTGCGTATGTTGACTATGCTGCAGCTGTTGGGGGTGTTGGCTTTGCTGCTGGCCAAGCTGCAGCTGGTTGTGTGTTGCCTGCTGCTGCTGTTGCTGTTGCTGTTGCTGTAAATGCTGCGTTTGCTTTTGTTGCTGTAACTGCTGGTGTTGCTGTTGACTAGCGCCAGTATTCGACTGTTGCTGTTGCTGATGTTGCTGGGTCTGCTGGGATTGCTGCTGCTGCGGTTGCTGTTGCTGCAATTGGCAGCTGTTGTCCTTCGCATAATCTTTGGGAAACCCCATTGACGCAGCGCGATTATACATTTCGAACGCCTTGTCTGGAGTTATGCTCCCCAAATGCTTGCCAAAGGGCATGGCACCCAAGAAGCTATCGAACATTTGTTGTTGTTTGCTGCTCTGTGCCGACATCTGTGCTGTTTGCTGCGGCATATTTCCGCTATTGTTCTCACACTTTTGTAACTTGTTCGCTGAGCCGCCACTGCTGGTGCCGCTGTAGTCCATGCCCAGCATGTCCTCAGCTGTCCGCTTAAGCGGGTTGGCATTTGCGTTCACAGCTGCTGTGCTTGCCACAGTGGTTGATGCTGTAGGGCTAGACGCCGCTGGCGTTGAAGCGGCGCTCACAGAGTTCTTGTGTGCTTGCGCCTGCTGGTGCATGTGTTGCATGAAGGCTGCCATATCGTTGGCAGAGTTGTCGCCGTAAACCGAAGCTGTGGCGCTCTGTCTTTTCACACTGTCCGTCTTGTCTGCTCCAGAGACGTCCTTGCTCGTGGACGCAGCAGCGGCGGCAGCAGCTGCAGCAGCTTTTGACTGGTACTGCGCGTAGGTTGGATATTGCGGCTTTTGTTGCTGTTGATTTTGTTGCAATTGTTGCTGGTTTTGCAATTGTTGTTGCTGCTGCTGCAACTGATGTTGAACATTTTGCTGCTTCGGTTGTTGCTGTTGGAGCAGCTGTTGCTGTTGCTGTTGTTGCTGTGGCTGTTGCTGCTGCTGCATTTCAACCTGTGGCTGCGTGGCGCCAGTCAAATTCCAATCGTTATGCTTCGTGTTGTCCAAGATAGATGCAGCCGCAGAGCTCAGCGCCGTGCCGTAGAGGGCTCGCAACTCGTCTATCTGCTGCTGATGTTGTTGTTGAGTTTGTTGTTGTTGAGGCTTTTGTTGTTGCGGAGACTGCTGTTGTTGCGGAGAGTGTTGTTGTTGTCGTTGCAGCTGCTGGGTTGGTTGCTGTTGTTGTTGCAGTTGCTGTTGGAGCAGTTGTGTTGGTTGGTGTTGTTGTTGCTGTTGCAGCTGCTGGGTTGGTTGCTGTTGTTGCTGCTGCTGTTGCGCAAGGCTCTGCGACTCCGTCTGCCCTTGCACTTGGCTTTGCGCTGCCAGCATTGTGGTGGCATTAAAAATATCCTGGGGTGTTGGCACGTATGCCGATACAGACGCAATCGCAGCATTTACAACGCTACCTGCAGAGTCACCACCTCCAACTGTACTAACGTTATTGCCGCTGCCGCTGCTTCTATTGGCTACAGTCTGCGCATAGGGCTGTTCGGCTTGCGCGGGAGTTGCTGGCGTCGCTGTAACAGTTGGGGAGGTATTTTTCACATCAGTATTTTGAGTCAACTGATTGAAAGTGACTGCCTCCGGAGTCCCCACCGGTGCCTGATATGGTGATGGACTCATGCTACTCTGACTGTACGGCGAAAGGGCGTTGGAGTTTTGCTGTTGCGCTTGAGGTGATTGCGTTTGAGGGGGGGCCTGTGACTGCGACTGATAAGGCGAATGCATCTGCTGTTGGTATGGCGAATGCGGCTGGTCGGCAGGTGAGTGGGCCAGTGGCGTTGGCGGTTGAGTTGCAGCAGACGATGCTGGCGAGTCTACACTGCTAGGCATAGGACTGTGCTGCTGCTGGTGCAGCGGCGAATGCACTGAAGTGGAGCCAGCAGGCAGGGCAGCCGTGGCTGCGGGTGGCGTGTGAACTGGGCTGCTGTGCGGTTGTTGATGGAAGGGCGAATGTTGCTGCTGATGGTATGGTGAGTTGGGGTGGTGGTATGGGGATTGATGCGATTGTGCGGCATATGGTGAACTTTGAGGCTGTTGATATGGTGAATTCGGATTGGGAGTGCTTGGACTCATAGATGAGTTGTAATCGGATTCCTGTGAACGTGGCTGCTTGTATTGGTCATAGAGATTCGGCAATGGTGATGTTGATGAGTAAACAGGCGTTTTCGAGGCCTCTGAGCCGGAAGGATTATAGCTATTTGCGCCACCATAGGGTGAAGTGCCACTTAACTCGGGCGTTGATACGTTTGGTGACGAAGCAGATGAGTATATGTGCTGTGAGTATTGTGGATATGGCGATGGCATTTCGCGTGGACTGCAGCTCTTATCCGGACTGCTTTTGGTGGTGGTGTCTTGATAGAAACCCACCTTTATAGCGCCATTCAATGGATAGGGTGAGGTAGGTTTGGTAATTTCGTCTGGCTTCGGTGAAACCATTATGGGTGATGCCCCAATTGGTGAAGCGCCGATGGGCGACGTGTAGTTCGCACCCGCGTAAGACCCGTAACGTTCATCTATAGCTATGCGAGGCGAGTCGGGGTCCTGGCTGAAGGAGGAGCGTTCGGATATTGTGCTGCCAGTGCTCGCTTTGCGTTGGCGTGGCGCTGAGGGCAATGAAAAGTCCACGCCACCGGTCATTGAAGCCGAAGTGGGTGACCTGCTGGCAGCAGTGGCGCCGGTGGAGGATAATGAGGCAGTCGCTGCTCCATCATTAGATTTCGTTGAGCTTGATCCTGGGCCAGTGCTGAAAGCCGACTCATTTGCATCTGCCTGCTGTTGTTGTTGCTTTTCTTCCTCCTCCGATTTCTTTGCTTTCTTCGGTGCACCAAAAGCTTTGAACCATGCGCTCAAATTTGGCTTTTCTTTTGCAGTCGTAGTGCCGCCTGACTCCGTATTAGCGGCAGACTTCTTCTCCAACAGTTTTTCAAAGGGTTTTATGTAATCGTTGGCAAGCGCTTCATCATCTTTCTTATCCGATTCTATTTCCGAAGCAGCCAAAACGCCAGCAGATATTGTCGAAGCTTTGGATGTGAAGGGCGAAATTATCTCAAGGCCAGTCGTCTTGCCACCCTTCTCGTCCCCTTCCTTTTCTGTATTATTCAAAGACTTTGCTTCGGTTTTGCTCGCCAACTCATCGATGAAATTGTGTGATTGCCCCAAAGCAAAATCATCAGTATTTATAACGGTGCCTAAACTTAGCTTGGGCGCATTGTCGCCAGTTTCAACGATCAGCGCGTTCTTCACCTCCTTTGTTTTGGCAGCGACAGGTCCCAGCGGGAAAAGCTCATCGGGTTTATTTATATTTTGTATAAGATTGCCCTTAGCTTTGCCCGGTTGCAGCCGTTCGATGGTACGAAGCAAATCTTTGCGGCGTGGATTTGTAGCCGCCTGTAGCTTCTCCTTCAGTGACTTGCGCTTAGCTTCTTTTGCCAGCTGATTTTTAATATGCGGCGGCGGTGGTGGATGCAGCAGCAATTGAGTGGTGCTGGGCTCTTTGGGTTTTGGTGGCGCGAGTGAGCTCAAAACGGGCGCCACGATGGCGGGAGGCGGTGGTATTAGCAAAGTTGGCTGATTGGCGGCCGACGCAGAGGCGATCGATGATATCGACGGTGCATTTACAGCTGAGTTATTCGACGAAGCATTGGCTGAGGTGCTTCCAACTGAGTTGGCAGATGTGACCGAATGCGGTGGCGTGCCACAGCTAGAGCTCACACTGCTCGCAGTGCCACCTGCGGTGCTGGCAGATATGCCGCTTGTTATTAATTCTGAGATCACTTCTTTCTTAAGGCCACTGGTGACCACTGCATCGCTGTCAGTGACTAAATCAACCAGCACTTCTGCCAATTTCGTGGGCACCAAATCAATTTTCGGCGGAGCGATCGGCACTGGTCGTCTGAAATCGGCCGGTTCCAACTTGGCCGGAATCGCCGGATCGAACTCGTCTAGGTTGTAACGCGAAGGAGAATTGCTGGCGGAACTGAATTCCGAGAAACGCGGGGTATGCTCCAACCAGCGGTTGATATCCTTCAGCGTCTGCTCAGTTTCCACGTCCAGTGCCTCAATATTGGTCGATGAAGTCTTGCTCGGAGCAGCGCTTAGGGCTGTTGGTTTATTGTTAGCTTTTTTATTTACCGCAGCACTAGCAGCAGCCTTTTTCTGCAATGCTTTCTTCGGTGGCACCGGAGCTGTGGGTTTCTCAGTCGGCTTCTTTGGCGATTCTTCCACTTGCACGGTGGGAATAGGTTCCGGTTTAGGTTTTTCCTTCTTTTTTGCAGCCGGCTTTTCGGGTGATGCAACAGCTTTCTTTTCCGCATTTTTACCGCTCTTCGTAGAGATGGTGTTATTTATTGTATGGCCCTCATTGTACACTTCCTCGGTCAGGTCTGCTTTCGTAGCCACTTTTGCAGCTTTTCCTGTGGGCTTTTCATCGGCTTTTGCGGTCTTTGAAGTTACGTCTTCTTTAGGCTTCGTTTTTAAGTCTTCTGTATCCGATTTATCTTTACCGCGCGCATCCTTCTTGGATTTTTTTCCGGTCTTTTTCACCTTCGTGCTATCGCCATTCGATTTGTCAGTAGCCTTCTCCTTTTCACCACCCTTACCGGTATCCTTTTTCTTGGTGGCGGTTTCTCTTGAGCGACTTCTGCCCACTGCTTTTTGGCTATCTTCAGCTACACTAACCGCTGTACTCTGCTGCAAATTATTGGCGCGACTACGTCGGTACTTTATCAACTCGTATTTATCGAGAAAAGGCAACAACATCTCCAGCTCGGCTTGCTTGGCTGCTTCAGCGGCCGCAGCAGCATCGAGTTCGGCATTCTTTTTGCCGACAGTTGATGTGCTAGACGCAGCAGAATTTTTCCTATTACTTTGCGGCTCCTCCTTTTTTCCGTTACGCGCATGTTTCTTCGGCGTGCGCTTTGTCTTGCGTTCCTCACTGGAAGCGCGTGCCGGCGTTGAGCTGCGACTAGACAAGGACTTAAAATCATCATCTTCTTCATCGTCTTCGGGGGTCACCCGCTTTTCATTTGAATTGGTTGCTGATGTACCGGGTACTTTCTTCACCGATGTCAACAAGTCGCAGAGATCATCATTAAGTGCACTTTTGGAGTATTTCTTATGCAGATCCACCTTGAATGGGGACATGCTGCGCGAACGTGAATCATCATCGTCGTCGATTACCTCCTCCTCCAGCTCAGAGGCTGAGGCGGCGAGAGCATCCACGGCTGGTGGTGGCATGTCTTTGTTCAAAAGCGGTTTCTTCTTTAGAGGCTTTTCGTCGTCGCTTTCATTATCACCATCGACATCGCTTTCGGCCGAAGTCTTTGACTTTTGTTTCGACTTGCTGCTCTTACTTTTACCCTTTTGATTTTTTGCGGCTGCGGGTTGTTTATTTGATTTAGTTGATGCATGTTTCTTCTTTTGCGCTAAGGATGCGATGGCTTTTGTGTGTGTTTTGATGTCTTTGCTTGCTTTGCCTTTGCCCTTTTTCACACTCGGATATTCAAAACTCTCATCATCGTCTTCTCCGCCCTCATCGACGCTCTCCGGCTCCGGCTCCAACTCTGAATCCAGTTCGAGTTCCGCTTCAGGTTCTGACTCCGGTTCCGGTTTTGGTTCAGGTTCGCCATCATCCGACATTGCGGACTCATCGGAGTTATAACTTTTTGATTTATTGCTCTTCTTGCTTTGTTTCTTTGTTTTACCACCATCGCTTTTGCCTTTCGAGGCTTTACTTGAAGATTTGGACGATTTCTCGCTCTTACTCTTCTTACCCTTCTTTGTGCCTTCCTTAGCCTGTTTACTTCTGCCCTTTTTTATGTTATGTTCTTGCTCAAAATCTTCACGCATTTCCTCATCACCTTGCTTTTCATCCTCTTCAATATTTTCTTCATCGTCTGTGTGCCTTTCCACTACAACTGCTTTACTTTTTGATTTCTTCTTACGCCTTTTATCCTTCTCTTTACGCTTGCGCTTTGTACCACGCTGCTCCCCATCACCGCTTGCCATATCGTCTATGTCCTCCTCACCACTATACGCGTGCTTTTCCTTATACAACTCTGTAACCGAATCCATTGAACGCTTTTTACCACTTCTCTTCTTATCTGTTGACTTGTCTGCAACATTTTTCTCCGCATCCGTTGCAACACTCTGACTATCGCTACTAGCGTCCTTCGAAGACTTCTTATTGAAGTATTTCTCCCGGAACACATTCATCTTTGAATCGGCTGCCGGATAGCCCAAGCTGGGGTCATCGTCATCGTCTTCTGATAAATTATCAAAGTATTTTTTGGTGGCCTTATCGAAGGCCTCTTGTAAATTATTCACCATTTCCGTGTATTCTGAAAGCAAAATTTGAGCATATTTATGAAAGATTTTTGGCTGAGAAGAAAATGGCCAAAGACTCACCATTGTTATGTCCATTATAGAGGCGACAGTTGTTCACAATCAATTTGAAATCGTTGCGAAAGTCACTAAATTTATTGTATTCACCGTTGTCCAGTTTATCTTCCATCTTGAGCAGATCCATTGGTCTGTGAACATGAGAAATCGAGTTAAATAAAATTGTTACCATTAGAAAAACTACAGATATTTTGCAATTTTGTTAATAAATCCATAAATGTCCACATCCTAAATACGTATGTGTCCCTTGATGGTCGAAAGACCTCATCTACCACTCCGTTACGTATTAACAGACGCCAGCACTCTTGTCAGCTCAAAACAAGAAACTTAACACATCACTCTGAAGGGTAGTGGAAGCGAAGTTAGGGGATAGCTACCTAGGGCTGAATGTTGCTGTGGAGATAAGTAATAGCTACAGAATCAAACTGAGGTGCGGCAAAGTACTTGGTAAGGCGTGGAAGCAGCGAACTTCTAGGATGGGGGCCATCCAAAACAGCATAGACTGCTAGACCACCGCCGCTGCTGTGACGACGTCAAGCAGCGACAAACCAGCCGTCGCTCAACTGAAGAGTTAGAGAAGCTAGCTGGAGGAACGAGCATTTATAACCCAGGCAGAGATCCGGAGAACTTCACACGCTCAGAAGTGAGCGAGTCTACAGAAAGATTCGCGAACCCTAGAGGAATAGTTTTAGGAAATTCTATGGTGACATTTTTCGTTCGATCAGTGTCCATCAAATAAGAGTTGAGTGCAGAGCGGAGAATTCGCTAGGATTATGGCACCCCATAAAACTTACAGGAAGTTTCGTTTCTAAGAGATTTAGAAAATTAATAACTCTCTCAAAGACGATGTTAAGACACATACATACATATATAACAGATATACTGGCAGTCTGCGAGCAAATAATACCCAAGGAATTAGCTAAGACGGCTGCTTTCTTTACTGGGATACGCAGAACAGAAAGCCCAGTCCACCTGTTACTGGAACGCGGTTACCTAAGATGGCAAACACATTAGCCACAGATTAGAGCTTAAGGTGTAGATGAGGTCACCTTTTGAGGGCACATATATCTACATATCTATCTACCACTTATGTATGCACATATATATATAATTTTAGAATACTTTACATTAAAGCTCTCAAACTACTCACCTGCGTATTATGGAATAATATCGTGGCGCTATGTCCTCCTCAACGGGATCCATAAATGGCCAGGCATCACGGTGATTCTTCACATAGACGAGCACTTTGTGCATACCGATTTGTAGAACTTCTTCCGTTTCGGTGAAACTGAGAAAATTCGTATTCGTGGAATTTTTGGAAGCATAATTAAAGGCGTTCAACGATGTGGATGTCAATTGATTGGTGGTGGCACAGGAATGCATGGAATATTGGGAAACGTGCGTTTGGTGCGTATTTTGGTTGTGGTTGTGGTTGTGGTTGTGGTGATTATGATGATGGTGGTAATTAACAGATGAATTGGAACAATTATTGGAATGGGAATGGGAGGTTATATGATGATTCGGATTAGTTGGTTTGTGAGAATTTTGATTTTGATTGTTAGCATGTTTTAAATAGCATTTAGTCACTGCTATCGCCGTTGTATTGGCGCCTGCCGTCGACGACGTTGACGGATACGTTTTTGCTGCTGTTGCTGTTGTTTTCGCCGCTACGGCTGCTTCTGTACCATGCGACGCATTTCTAAACACATTCGAGGCGTTATGATTTGAAGTGATTTTGGTTGTGGTTGTGGTTGTGGTGGCGGTGTTGGTATTGATGATTGTTGAGGTGGTAGTGGTGGTGATGGTGTTTTTGGTGTTTGAGGTGATGGTGCGATTTTTACTAAATACATTTCTACAATTTACATTTTCACAAAAAAACCATATGGATGTTTGTTGTAATTGTTGTTTACAAATTTGCAGTTGGAATGTTGATGATCGCAATGAAGTAGGAGAGCATTTAAGGTATGAGAAGTACACAATTCCAAATGAGTCGATTTGGGTCAATTTTAGGTGAATGAGAAGATTTATTGACGTACATAAAATTATTTACAAGTCATAAATAAGAAAATCAAATTCAGGTATGAAAGTGTGTGCATGTATGTATGTATGTGTTTAAGGATATTGAATTTTATGAAACACGCGATATGAAAAGAAGTGGTGAAGGCAAAAGAAAAAGGTAAATGAGTTGTTAAATATTTACAATATTAGCTAATTTGGTTTTGGAAAGCTAAAGTTTACGCAAACCACATGGAAATGAGATTAGGCGGAGGAGAAGCATGCGCAAAACGCTTAAATTTTAATAACGGTACGCATAACGGAACTAATTAGGTACATACATATAAATGCATGATGATGTGGAGAAAATGAGATACATATTTATTGAGGGTTTATGCCAATCAATAGCAAAGTTCTATGGTGAAAAAACTGTTTCATTATTTTTGACAGCTGCTTTGATGCAGAAGATGACCAGCGAGTTAAGCAACCAACATCAAACGGCAATTATATTTATTTAGAAAATATCTGCCTTACTGGATTGGCTCATAGAATATTGCTTTGTGACTTTTTAAACTTATTAAATTTCGTGTCCAAGCGATTTTCGGGTATAAAAAGAAATATCAAATTTTTATGAAATTTCATATCCAAAGGTTCTTTGAGTCGCTGATTGCAAAACTGAAATAAATTTTCAAAAATTCAAAATGGCTAATACAATATGATGCCAATGCCTTGGGTAAGAAGTTTAATAAAACTCAAAAATTACAAGGCAATATTCTATTGAGCGGTTCAGCAAATGACGATGTAGAAAAACGACCAAATACGGTACATACTTTTTTACGCTATTTTCGAAAATGCTTCATTTTTTCATGGGTGAAAAAAAAACAAGTTCAATTTTTATTCACCTCATAGTCGACAAAACATTGCAATCCAGAATACTTTGCTATTAATTGGCACAGGCCCCTAAAACACACAAAATTTTCAAATTCTAACCGTTAAAGGACATCACTACAAACCAAGAAAACTAAAGGATATAAATGATTGAGTACACCAAAAGTAGGGAAATTAAATGTACAACTACATAACTCTACTTATAAATGGGAAAAATATGTACAAACAAAACTAAAGTGCCAGCAACCAGTTTCAAACATGTGTTTTTTTTTTGTAAAAAAAAATGAGAAATTAACCCTTGTGCGGAAACCTGATAGCAGCACTGCATTGTAAAGTGCAAGTTTGAAGTGACTAAAAATACCTTTGATTTTTGGAAATTTTTTTATTAAAGATATGATATTTTTTCCGTATGGAAAAAAAATCGTCTAATATACTTTGTAAAGCACAACACCGTTAGCAAAGAAAATATCCAAAAATCAAGGTACATTTGTACTAAGGATTCTGTTCTAGGGTATGACCTTACAAATCATAGCAAATATCTACTTTCAAAAAATCTTAAAAAACTAGGAATTACTAAAATGCATTAAGAAAAGCTTGTTTACGGTTAACATGAAATTTCAGCTCTCTACTGGAATGATAAAACCCTTTAAAAGTTGGTTATAGATGCAGCTGTACCTAAGGTTCCGCACAAGGTTTAAAAAATTTAGTTGCTCAAAGCAATAATGAGTAAAAACAAACAGAAGCGCATATGAGAAATTGTTGTCAACCAACACTTCTCATATGCGCGCGCGTTTAATGGAAAACATATGGATTTGCACAAACAAGCAACAGCAAGAAAACGCGAAAAGAATTTCTGTATAATTCCATCCATATACAAAAACAAAAGCAAAATTCTATTTTTTTTTTTTGTTTTTTAAGTCAATGAGAAGCAGCTTATGTAGAAAATAATTTCTGCAATGCAATTAAAACACACAAAATACATACTCATCTGCGCTTTTATCCGAGTGTTGTGACGACGACTTCGAGCTGGCAACAGCTGAGACAGTCGGAGCTGCCGCTACCGCTGCCGCTGCTGCTGCTGCTGCTGCTGCCGCCGCCGCCGCCGCTGCGGCTACTGCAGCAAGTTTCTTTTTATGTCCACCACCAGCTGTGCCACTAGCATTACTCTTCTCCGCAACAGCATTCGAATCTGACGGTGTAGTAGAAGATCCCGCGGCTGCCGCGCTATGCTTATGATGCTTTCTGTGACCCGCACTACTCGTTGCCGTCGATGACTTCGTTTTAGTGTCCGCGCGCTCTGTTGGCGTGGTGCCCGCCGTTGTCGTCGCATCTTCACGCAACGTAGGCGGTATGAATATGTTTCCCGTCAGTGACGAGAGCGAATTGTTAGTTTGTCTGCCGGGCAATTTCATGTTTGTGGTTGGTGCCATATCAAGAGCAATGCCCACGCCCGCCTCCTTCTTTATGACAGTGGCTATGTGCTGGGCGCTGCCAGTGCCAGCTGCGCCTGTGGTATCACTCAATGTCTCGACTACAATACCCGCAGCAGACAGTTCATGTAATTCGCTGACTGGTCCTGCGTCGGCGCTGAATTGGCGACAGAAATTCTCCTTATCTTCAGGGCTTAGTGAAGGTGCATGCGTAAGCACGTGGCTATTGTTGGTGTGCTGCTGATGGCCGTGGCCCTGGCTGTGACTGTGGCTTTGCGCTTGCGTACGCGATTGCTGACTTTTATTATTGCGGCTGCTGCGTGTTTTGGTTGACTTTTTATTGCTATTGCTGTTTTGACTTTTACTATTGCTGCTGTTATTACTACTACTACTACTGCTGCCGCTCTGATTTGGTTGTGGCGGCGTTGCAGTTGATGCGACCGCTTCTTTTGTTGCTTTGGCTTTCGCTGCTGAAGCAGTGTTGGAGGCGGAAATATTGTTGCTGTCGTTTCCGCTGACACCGTTGGCATGCTTGTGACGCCGCCGATGTTCGCGAGATTTCTTTTTCTGCTTCTTTTGTGACTTCTTCTTCTTGTGATGCGACTTTTTCGCCTTCACAGGTGGCGCCTGTGCCGGTGAAGCGCAAAGAGTCTCTTCTAACAATCGCTTCACTGGCAGCTGCACTTGCTGCAACTTAACTTCGTCGCTCCGAAAGTAATCTCCAGTGTCTGCAAGTTGCTTATCATAAGTGGGTGCGACGTTGTAGGGATATGCGCCGTTATGGTTTAAAACATAATCGCCTTCATCCACCGACTCGTCTAGCGGCTCAACTTTGATATTTTGCAGGAGCAATTGCTGCTGCTGCACCGCCAATAAGTGCTCCTGGTTGGTCACGTGCTCCGCTGGGAGTAGCGGCGCGTCTACACCAATCGCTGTACAAATGGCTGGCGCGTGAGGCGGCGTCGTTAGGTGACGCGCTGTATCGCAAAGTTCCGGTCGCTGCTCGTTTTCGTTCTCGTCTTCTTCGTCCTCTTCGCCTTCGGGCGTCAGACAGAAAGTCTCTCTGTGGCAGAGAAATTCACTGGAATTTGTAGTGGTCGTGCGTCGCAGAGAGCTGGCATACGTTGAAATACCGCTCGCGGTCGAAGTGGATTGGGAGCTGGAAAGATAGATACTAATTTATTCAATGTTCTTTGAGGTAAATTTTCGAATATTTGGTAGAAAAATCTTCGGCAAGAATGTGTATGAAAGTCATGGCGTTTAACGATTTTGGTGTTAGAAAAATGTATGAATATGCTTGTTTTGCAAACGAACAAAACAAATTAAGGAACAAAGAAGCATATAAAAATCGAAAATCTTAACTTATTATAAAACCTTTCCGAAAGCGATAACGCGCGAGACTTGAGAGTTGGAGAAATCGAGCCTATCGAGAGATGAAACTTGTGGGAAATATGAGCCACAGAAGGAGATCGCAAAGCAGTATTTCTGCTTGTATTCTACACACCTCCACAAGTGAGGATGGAATGAAAGCTTAAGGTTGTCAAGGAAACCATTATTGACCAGAAATCAAAGGCATCAGTTTATAAAAATAACAGCAATTTCTTTTTAAATTTTGGGCCGTTATAGGAACTTGTTTTTAAAAGTATTTTATGGCCTTTCCGTTCAGCTAAATCTAACTTATCTAATACGTCACATGTTCAAAAGAAAAGAAAATACAATAAAATAACACAAAATAAAATATACTACATTAAACTAAATTTTTAAATTAAATGAAGTGAAATTAAATAAAATGAAATGAAATAAAGCAAAACAAAATAAAATAAAATAAAATAAAATAAAATAAAATAAAATAAAATAAATTAAAATAAAATAAAATAAAATGAAATAAAATAAAATTAAATTAAATTAAATTAAATAATATAATATAATATAAAATATATTATAATATAATTAATATAATATAATATAATATAATATAATATGATATAATATAATCTAATATAATATAATATTATAAAATATAAAAAAATTTAATTAAATTAAGTGAAATGAAATAAAGTAAAATAAAATAAAACAAAACAAAATTAAATAACATAAATAAAATGAAATAACATAAAATTAAATTAAATAAATTACATTAAATTAAATTAAATTAAATGAAACAAAATAAAGTCAAATAAAACAAAATAAAATAAATTAAATTAAACAAAATAAAAAAAAACTAATTAAAAGAAAATTAAATTCAAAAAAAAAAATTAAGTTACGTTTAAAAAATAAAATAAAATGAAATAAAATAAAATGAAAAAATTTAATTAAGTCTAAACAAGTAAAATAAGATAAAATTAAATAAAACAAACTAGAATACAAAAATAAAAAAAAAATAAAAAAATAAAATACTCTAAAATAAATATGAATAAAGGAGGAAAAACAGAAGATACAATAACTAGGAGAAAATAGAATGTAGTAAATAAAATAAAATAAATAAAAATAACTTTAATAACAAAAAAAAATAAAAAATTAAAAATAAAAAATAAAAAAAAATATTAAAAAATTAAAAAATAAATAAAATGAAATAAAAGGAAATAAATAAAACTAAATTAAATAAAGTTAAAAAAAAAAATAATAAAATAAAATAAATATGTATGAAGTAAAAGGCAAAAAACATAAAATGCAATGCATAAGACACAATAAGATGTAGTAAATAAAATAAAATAAATAAAAATACATAAAAAATAGAAATTATTTTAATAACATAAACAAATAAAATTTAATAAAATTAAAGTTTCCATTTTTGTGCCCTCTGCACACAAATACAAAGAGGACAACGAAAAGTCGTCAGACTTACACGTCGAACCCTAACCACAAAAAAAACGTAGTCTGCATTTTTAACAAAATTTTCTTTTTGATGCAGAACATACATATGTAGAGCGTTTTGAGCTCGATATGTATGTACAAAATATACAAATATAATAGAATAGTAAAACAAAACAAAATAAATCAAATTACAATATACAGTTTATTAGGGTGCGTCAAAAATTACTTTTTATCAGGTTTAAAGGTGGTGTTACTAAATCAGCTGATTTCTTCGCCTTACATTTATTTTGGTTTTTCTTTTACTGATTTGACAACACACCCAGCAAAATCAAAAAAAAAAATGCATGTAAACTGTGGGGCGAACATGCAATTGTTGTTTTTGTATTGTTGCTACTACCTTGTTTGAATTTGCCTTGAATTTTAAGTTATATCCTTCAAACAAACCGACTTCAAAACGGATGAAGTCATCATTTCGTTGGAATTTTATTTTTTTAATGTATGTTGCTGCATATCTTAGGACCACGTGAACCGATTTTGATAATTTTTTATCGGAAAGGTTCTACCTGAAGGGTGGTCCCATGGTAATTTGGGTTGGATTCGATCATGAAGAAATTAACGCTACTCCTAAATTTTTACTTGAGAATTGAAATCGGTTGTGGTTTCTTCGTTTAAAAATTACTTATTTAAGTAACTCTTCATCCCTAAAAGAGAATGATTAACTTATTTATTTAGGGATCCATCATAGACTTCAAAATTTTCCAAGTAGGTTTGGAGAACTGGAGTGTTCTCACACTGGTATCGAAGAATAATATCCAAAACCTTCGAAGTCCATAAAACTGGCGAAATTTAGATAATAAAGCATAATGGCGTATGCAAAACTGCAATCTTGAGTCTATTAAGATCCCAAAACTCACCACAAGACTATATAGGGGAATGATTAGCTTCCTTCCCTGATAGTATGTGTCTTACAGCAATGAAGGTTACTAGTCTAATCGGCCGGACAACTACTGCTTCCTTTTCAGTCTGTCAGCCTGTATAGGTTAGTCGTCCGGGAGTCACATCAATTGTGATATCGTAGCCTTAGGGTCATTTATTCCAACCTTCATAAATTTTTGGTAACCATTGCCATCTTCACATGTGGGCAGAATGGTATTTTCCGTTGTTGTTGTTATGGCGGCACTACTTAGCCCAGCCTAACTCCGCTGGGCAATCAATCTTTGTAAACCCAAGAAACGTACTGTTTCGGCTCTCTCGAGGCAAATGAAGCTCTTCGTCTGCGATGGGCAATGATTAAGCTCACAGTAAACTTGAGATCTCTCTTATTCATTTATTTATTTATATATACATTTTATATTTCTAATAGTGCCCGCTCTCATGCATTATGACCATTTATAAATAAGTGCAGTGGCGTCAGGACGAGGCTGACTTCCAAGGCTGCGGTGGGATAAGTATGCATAGCACCCGCTGAAGCCTAGCAAGAGATCCTCTCACTGTGTTGGGGACAATCATCTCGAACCATTCCACCGCTTCGTATGCTAATATTTAACTACCTATGAAGGGAGTACACCAACCGCAGGATCTAGGGGCTGCACTTCCATGATTTGCCAGCCAGCCTTTTGCACACTATTTAAGGACATTTTAATCTCTATTTCTCCCATATTATAAGATGAATACCTTGGAGTTTTCTCCTTCTAGTGAAAGACATGATCGTTTAGTCGGAATAAATGCTTTTTGCACAATGACACTGAGGGCATTTTGAAATTTTTTCCCCTAGAATTCTAGAGAGCTCAAAGAAGAATATAAAGTAATTTTTGGCACACCCTATTCAATAATATGTTTGACAATATGCAATTTTTTCAATGGAAACGTATTTTTTATTCAATATTAAGATACCTTATTTTGGTGGTCAATGCCTAAAAGGAAAGCACGAAACCGATTTCATATTAATTCGATTTTTATGTGTTTATGTGTCTGATCGGTGTTTTTCTAACATCAACCCGGGGCAATGTAGACATGAAAAAAAAAACGAAATGATGAAACACATTTTTTTTAACGACTATTATCGGCCATTAATTCTGGTGATTGTCTTTAACATAAAATATGCACTTATATGAAAGTTTCGAAACTCAATATTTTTTGGAAGATTTTAATAGTTCAGTCCAAGTTTGGAGTATTTAAGGTTTTTATGCTTTTTTGAGTTTATTCCTTAACCCATCACAAACATCTAACCTTCAAAGCGCGCCAGAAGAGCACATTTTATAGGTTAGTATTAAAATGGACCGTACGATTTGAGGGAGAAACTTTACTTTTTCGAAGCAGTCTCAAGAAACAAATAATGCTACAAACTCTAAAGGGCTCTTCATCTAAATAAGCATAAAATAACTTAAATTTGAATAGAAAAATAATAATTATTAGTTTAAATAAGTATCTATTAAAAACTAAATGAAATGCAAGAAATTTAGGAGAAAAAAGCATGCTTACGTAGTTTATTTTTATTTTGATTTTTTTTTGTTTTATTAAAACTTGTATTTCGATTTTGAGATGTGTAACGAAACCAAACGTAAGTTCACTCAGTCCAATTTGTTGTTGTGTTTTAGAATCACAATAACCGAAATAAACGTATGTAAATTAATGGCTGTCGTTGTCGTTAAATTTTACATGTTCCATTGCTGCAGTTGTTGTTGCTGTCGCCATTCCCGTTGGCTCTTCTCAAAGAAATGTGCTTTTCTTTATTATTATTTTTTGACAATTCTTTATGCCGGTATTTTCGTTTCGATTCTTGAGCGCGATCTTCTTCTGCATAGTTTCATGGAACGACGCACTTTGTCTGTCTGTATGTCGCAGAGGATTAATTTTTTTTTGGCATGCTAATTTTGGGTTAACCAAAAAAGGCTTTGTTTCTTTTGTTTTTTTTTTAGCGCTCTATTGTGCTGTCGCAGCGATGAGTTGACTTTTGTTGCGTGAATGGTGGTAATCGGTTTTTATTTACTCGTCTTATGAAGTGTCAAACAATTTTTTAATTGGATTTTTATTTTTTTTTTGTTGGCAAATGCTACTCCCAATTTAACATGACTGTCTGTTGAGGTTTTTTCATTTTTTTATACAAAGAAATTTTTAGCAGTGCTTCAAATGAACGAATGAAGTTAATAAGTATAGTTGTTGTTAATAATTTAATTATTTAAATAAATGTAATAGAAACAGTTCACAGCATAGGTATGAACAAATTTCAAGCACAAAAAAATCAGGAGCATATATAAAATGAAACAAGCGGTTATGTTTGGGGAAAATAAAAATCTTAGATTTTGTATGTTTGCTTTCTCATGTGGATCTATGTACGTACTATGTCGGCATTTATGTATGTTATACTAGTTAGTTATACTATGAAGTTATAACATTTTAAGGCATTGCACGCATAAAACAAGAAATGTGTGTAATAAATGTACATATGTATGTAAATATATTTATGTGCTCTCTCGAATATACATGTATGTTTGATTTTGCATGCGTGCGTGTATGTTGATGGCTCTTCAGTGTTCTGTACTCTATGATTCCTTTAACTTTGCGTTTGTTCGGTTGCTGTTCGGTGTATTTTAATGAATAATGAGCAATTGATATGCGTTCGCATTAATTTTCATTTGATTACAGTTCTCTAAGTGTTATGGTGTTTGGATATTTCTTTTTTTCGTTTTGTTGGTATTTTGAAGATTTGTCGTTTTTGTTTTAATTTTTTTATTATTTCATTCTTTCAATTGTGGCTGTCCCTAGTAGTATTGGTAGAAGAGTTATTGGCAAGTTCTCTTGCTAACCGTCTTCTTGCTCTGCTCTGTGCGGATAACTGCTGAGATTTCAAATTGGTTGGCGGCTCAAATGGATAACGTTGACGTTCGCGCAGCAAACGTTCCTGCTCTTGGCGCGCTTTTAGCTCGACGATGTTACGTAAGCGTGTCGAATTGCGGACTTGTAGTAGCCTATGGGAGTAAACAGAGAGAAAATAATGTTTTAAAATATGTACATAAGAAAATTGTTTAGCAGCAATGGTATATTAATATATATAGTAAATATTGTCAGCATGAATGCTAGAGACTGTGGATGAACTCTTCTAAGGTTTCAACCCACTTAATTGTAGGCGTGGAACTGTTTTATGCCCAGCTGCACTAATGCTACGTATGTACGTAAATACATATCGGACAGCTAGATCTAAAGTGAGCAAACTCACTCAGAGAGGGTACAGATTCATTGCAATTAATGTATAACAGTATTTTTTTAATTAATGTATATAATTATGAAGAAAAAAATATTTGCATTAATTGGATGTACAGTGGTGGAAAAATACGACACGACATTTTCACAAATTTTGCCTATTTCTCTTTCGTTTATTTAATATTTATTATTTTTTATAAAATTATAGCTCATTATTGAACAAAAACCATATAAACTCATATTTCCAACTTTGCGCAAAAATTAGAAAAATTCTGCAAAATTGCGTCTAAATTTTCAACTGTTTAATCAGATTTTTAGAATTTTTTGAGTATGTATTTTTATAGCCCATTAATTGGCAGAATTTTTATATTTTTTGCACACAGTTTTAAGCTGTACTTTTATAAAAAAAAAAATAATAAATATTAAATATTAAATAAGCAAAAGAAAAATAGCAAAAATTTGTTAAAATGTCGTGTCTATATTTAGTTTCCCACCACTGTAAATCCTATGAATTGATTTATGCCAAAAAATTTCCCTATTTTTTTTTTTTTTTTGAGTTGATCGCACTTTAGATCTAGGTGTGCGAAATGTACAACCATAAGTAAATTTTTTACAGATTGTATGGATAATTAAATGTTTCTAATATTAAGCAGCTGAAGATAAGCAAAAAATCTAGATTATTTAAGGCAAACAAATTACTTTTGCTTGCTTTGGCTCCCTCTGTAAATACATATGTACATACTTTTGAAATAATAAAAATCATTTACTCACTTTCTTCGGCGTAATCTCTCTCGCTCGCGGAAAAGTTGTGGTAACTTGGGTAAGAAATTTTCATCCAATATCTGATATAATTCGCGTTCTTTAGCATTTGTTGATGATTTAAATTTACTAGCCAAATTCTGCCAATCCTCTTCGGTAAAACAAATTACTTGCCATACAGCACCATCTGAATTTTCACCGCTGCCACGGCTGCCGTTAACCACTGCCGTCGCCGATTTATTACCGCCACTGCCACCTCCACCACCACCACCGCTATGACTATTCACTGACGATGTTGACTTGTCCTCGCGATACAATCGCGTGCCATAGAAATACCAATAGCCAGAATTTTTCGAATCGTAACCGAGCGGCTCGACACGCAAGCTATCCGCTTCCAAATTGCTTAATATAACTTGTACATCACATGAATCGAGACGAAAATGGCATAAATCATGTAGTATTTGCAAGCGTTTGCGCACCGGCAGCGATTGAAAGTCAATGTCCGTATCAAAATGATTCTCGGTATTGTGTATGGGACACTGTTGGCGTAGAAAACGCCGCAAGAACATTTGATAATTGCTATGGGTTATTTCTTTTGCTACCGATTTGAGTGCATCGCAACCCTTTAGTAGGCGTACAATTAACTCCGGTACAAGCGCAATTTGATCTTCATCAGTGCCATCCGATAGAAGCGCCGACTCAAGATCCTGTAAGGAAATAGAAAATGTAAGCGTAATAGGAAAATAGAAACTAGGAGGTTTAGGTATATTTTATATATACATTTATATGTATGTACGTATGTATATTTCTGCGATAACGTTGTCAATTAAAACATACCTCGATATCGATGTCGGGCAGATCAAAAGCAGAACTAAACAATGAACAAAAATGAGATATGCACGGTATCTCCCACCATGATTGAATGTCTGAAAAGATACAAATTACGTTGCATTGGATTCTGTTGATAGTCAAATGCGATTTGCATACACTCACCCAATAGCCCGATAAAAGTAGAAACCATTTATATGTACTTGCACGCTTTTTTAACAATTAATTAGGTATTTTAACAATTCCTTGAGTATTGTTCCGTTGCTACAAGTTTGCTTGCTCGTTTTGATTTTTTATCAATCGGTCGTTACTATTATTGCTTCGAGTACTTAAATATTATCTGCTTTCGTAAAATAACATCCATAAGTAAAAATGATCAAGGCATTTTGTTTGTTCATTGGAAAATTATAGGTAAACAAACGATTTTTGAGTTTGTAGCACCTGCAAGGAAAAGGTAATCACTTGCAAATTGCTTACACACATGTCTTTTAGGTAAAATATGAACGGATATATTTATATACCTAAATAATAAGAACATGCAAAAATTCTCAATCTTCGAAACAAATAGAAAGAAATATATTTATATAGACCTTTAGAAACTTTACGAAATTGTATTATCTTTATGTTACCATTTTATTCGTTTCGTATAAGTTACATAACTGCCGGTTTCACCAGCAATTTAATTGAAAAGTGAATTTTTTTTCCTTCCCTCAGTTTTCATTTCAAAGTCAAATCGTTTTTAAGATTTGTATTTAATTTCTATTTTTATTATTTTTTATTTAAGTATCCGCAGGTATATTGGAAATTTATCAGCTGCAAATCTGCTTATAGACAGCAGAGCGCATAGAGAAAAATGCGCCAAATTCTGACTTAAAGCTACACAACCAAAAGCCAACCGAGCCCTAACCAAACTTTCTGAAATTAGCATCAAATTACAAAAAAGGTAAGGTACCTTGGTGACTGGTAAATGGTAGAGTGGATAAACACGCGGTAGCAAACGAAATGTTAAAACAAAAGCAAAAAAATTATAGCAGCAGCTTTAGAATAAAGTACGTATGTATTTGAATTTCACTGCACAGTAAACAGTAAATCAGCAAGAAAATTAAACAAAAACAAAAACAGAATTAATTTACTTCTTTTCTTTATTAAAATAAACAAATTCTTAATTTAGAAAAGAAACTTTTAATTATTTTCTTAATGTTGTTACACGCGTGACCTAACAGCACCCGATACTCTGAATGGGTAGAAATAAGCAAGGAAGGAAGTCAAAAAACCAAGTGGAAGTAACGGCTATAACGTGATGTTAATAACAACAAAAACACATACGTTCACGCACATGTGTATTGTCCTCTGGAAGGTTGCGCGCCATATGATCTACAGAATGGTAAACAAAAGATATGAAAATGCCAAGAAAGTAAGAATAAAGTCAAAACGCAAGATAAGAAGAGATAAAAAAAAAACCTAGAATTATGTGCAAGCACACGCACATACCTATACTTTTATGTTGGCGAACGCAGGTACCAGCTTTTTATTTGATTTCAGATTATAAATACACACTGTATGCACATACATACAGTATTGGCCAATACAATAGCACCCCCATTTCAAAGTGATATCGTTTGCCACTCATGTTTATTTATTTATTTTTAAGAATTTTCAATTAAAATACAGTTCATTCTCTCACAAAACTCACATAAACTCAAGCTTAAAACTTTTTAAAAGACCGCAAAAAAAATGCAACAAATTTTCACCCAAATTTCAAACTTTTTTCTCAGAAGCGGTAGAATTTTTTTGAATACACAGTTTTATAGCCCATTCAATTTTAGTCTAATAATGTGCAAGTTTCAAGTGGCTAAAAATTACCGTTGATTTTTTAGAATTTTTTTCGCCGAGTATGTTGCGGTTTTCTGCCATATAAAAATAAATTGTGTTTAGTCCATATATGGAAGCAAATAAGACAAAAAAAAATCTAAAAAATCAACGGTAATCTTTAGCGACTTGAAACTTGCACAAAATTGAATGCGCTATAAAACTGTGTACTCAAAAAAATTCTAGAGCTTCTGAGAAAAAAGTTTGAAATTTAAGGGAAAGTTTGTTGCCCTTTTTGCGGTCTTTTAAAAAGTTTAAAACATTAGTTTATATGGGTTTTGTTGGAGAATGAACTGTATTTTAATTGAAAATTCTTAAAAACAAATAATTAAACATAAGTGGCAAACAATATCGCTTTGAAAGGGGGTGCTATAGATATGTCCAATACTGTATGTATGCATATATGTATGTATGTAGATATGTATATGGAATGAATGTGCATCGGTTGCTAAAGTCAAGTAGCTACGCTTGAATGGCTCCTCACTTAGGTGCAGCAAAATGTATGCCAGCACATCTTTCCGAGCATTTCAAATTGAATTTTAACGCTTTACGCGCTACTTACCGATGAATTGGAGACGATTTCAAAGCGCTAATCAACCATGCAGTAACATTGCCTATTTTATACATATCTATAGGTATATAAAATCGTCAAAACTCGACTATATTTCGCAAGACCTATGCATGTAAACATGTATGTATGTATGTACACAAGTAAAAACTAAAACTTTGGCGCGCACAATAAACTACAAGTCATGCACCTTGTCCCTATTACACCCACCCGAAAATTATGCACACCAAAATAAAACAAACGGAAATCAAAACAGAATGCGATTAGAAAGAACCGCCATTCTACTTTCTATGACTTCGACGCCAGCGCCGACGACAACCGCTTTACGGCATGAATTACGGCACGTTGTTGTCACCGCTGGCAGCGCTGCAGCTATTTTGGAAGTTTTGGATTGTTTTGATTTTGAAAATGCGGATACAATAGCACCAAACAGTACCAACCTAGTCAGATTCTTTCGCCTTTTTGTTTTGTGCCGCAACGCAGCGGGAGTGAGCGATAGAAAAGCAAAAGCGGCAACAAGACACACCAGCTATACTGCTCTCTACGCGTCGAACGAGTGAAATAGAAAAACCGACAAAGAGCAGCGTAGCTATAGTATACTTGTGAGCAGTGCACTATATGGGTGCGCGAAGGAAACGACTAGCGATAAGCGCGCCATCATGTGTATGCCTTTCCGTTTCCCTAATGTCAATACGGGTTTGCTGTCACAAGTATTGTGCTGTAGAAAAACGATAAGTGAAATTTTTTCCTATGCGCCCATTTTTTTTCTTTGATGGTTCCTGATTACGGCGTACGTGTACGTATTGTACATACTAGTACAACGGCGGAAGTCTATACAAATTTACTATATAGTCACTATATAGCATAGAATGCGCAGAGTTTTACATCTTACAGCTAACTCGTTGAAATCGTAATGCGCGCATCCGTTTGCATCGGAGTACGCGCGCAATCAGAATTTATTTGCCGAAGACACGCTAGTTAAATGAATAAATATATTTACATATATTAGCATGCACATATGTACATACATACATATAAGTATGTATGTATGTATATAGACAAGTGGAGCGGAGCCGATTGGTTTTGCTGGCACCCGAAGGCGACCACTGGGAGCGTGAAAGTGCGCAAAATGGACAATTTACTCGAATCCACCATAACGAGATTCAATGCCGTCAACTGAAGCATCTTGGAGGTAGTTTGGCGAGTATACAACCCCTCGTCAATATGCTACATACTTTACAAGAATGATAGAATACATTTTCTGCATCGTGCTACTTTTACCACTATGTATGTATGTACATAAATATTCTTAACATCGCACAAGCACTTTTTATTAAATACCAAAACTTATTACGATAGAATTATTGTGCATACCTCCACCATCACTTTTGCAAACTGTTGTTGCACCACTGCCTTTTTTGCTTATTTATATTTTTTGTTTTTATAATTTTATTATTATGTCTGTATTTGCAATTTTCATTCACCGTCGCATTTATTTTTCTTTATTCACTTCAGTTCGTCGTGTCTATTCCGCTCCTACATTTTATATCGTTATTCTTTTCTGCTTCTCTTCTTGGTCAATAAATCATATAGAAAGATTGTGAAAATTTTTTAGTTCCATCTTTACACGAGTTTGTATGTTTGTTAAGTGTTCACTTGGTTATACATATATATGTATGCGTTTGAGTGCGTTGCGCTCCCGATTTTTTTACTTTATAAAACTGCTGTACATTTTTTCGACTTCAACACTTTTCATTTCATTTTCGCCTTTCAATAGGCTATGAATATGCTACAAAAAGCATTATGTTTAAGGCGTTTGCTTGTTTTATATTCAATTGATACCTTTTTTCAATTTTCACTTCATAAAATTTTCTATTTTTTCACTTTATACACATACACACGGCAAAGCACTTTTCTATTTCAACACTTTTACCACGAACTAGCACAACCGAATACGTTAAACGCACGAAATAAACTGAACAATTTTTATTCCACTTTGCCAATCGAACGAAACGGGCAAAGCATAGATCGATGGCTGTTTCCATTTCCGTTGGCGCGGATAGATAAAGATAGCATGATATGTCTCATGGCTTGTACTAGAGATGTGAAAGCGAGCAAACTAGATTCTACAAATGCTGAGTTGATTTTTGGGAGTGCGAAGTTTTAAAATTGGACTTTAATTTATCGGTAATTTTGAAGAATTTTTGTAATCAACCAAGATGATCATTTTTTAATAAATATTAAAAATTAAGTAATTACGTAATGAAAAAGATTGTAATACTTTAAATGGCTTGAAATGTAATGCTATCATTTCCAATCCAATTTTATCGATTTCTATTGTTGCAATCCTAGATATTTGAATTCTTAGCTAATAATCGAAAAATTAAATTTAAAAGCAAGTCATTAAAAAAAGAAAGTTGTGACACAAGTTTTTATTCGTGATTAGTAAAAAAACAAAAAACGATCTCCGTACCACCGAACGGCCAAATTTTTTGTGAAGTTATCTCTTTCCTTTTAAGTAATATGTACGTTCTAAATATTAACCAAATCGGACCAAAAATTCGGATTTTACAACATACATCGACGCTTGCGCCACCTATCAGGCAAAATTTTTGCAGAGTAATTCATTCTCACGTAAGTAAAATGCATTTTAAGCAAAATGCATTTTATGAACCATATCGGACTTTAAATACAGGGTTTTTAAATATTCCGACACCTGCGCCACCTAGCGGATTAATTTATCTTGCATAATGCATTATCACCGGCTTCCGAGCTATGTTTGAAATTTCAAGTCTAGCTCATCGGGAAATCACTTAAAAATTGATTTCAAGATCGGATTTAAGTACTGATCGATACTCGGTACCGATTTAAAAAGTATTCAATACTTTCGATACTCGGTACCAAAATGTTTAGGCTTCCAATAAGAACGCATATAGACCAAAAATAAAAGCGGTTCAGGGCAGTCTAGCCTATCACAAGCCGAGTGTAGGAGCAAATAGAATTTTTATTACTAATTCAAATGGAAAATATATATCGTTGCCTTAATATAGAAAGACCCTATCTCACATCGTCGCTGAAAGCCGTAACTAAGTAAATAGCCCAAATTCCCTTTCTGATCTATTATAATTATAATCATAATTATGATTCATTTGATCGAATTATAAGTCCCCACATGATTTTAAGCAATAAAAAATTTTAGTCAGTTTGGAGTAATCATAATTTTAACTTTTTTTAAATTACGATTACTGTAATCGTAGTCTAAGTTCGTTCGAACGAACTTGGATTACGATTACAGTAATCGTTAATTTAAAATTAATTTTGGTAACAAAAAACTTATAATTTGATAGTGCGGTGGTTTGGGTTTCCAGGACTACTCTGGGCACGGTGTGGCACACGCTCACCAAGATTGAACGGCTGGCGTGTGTTTGCATTACGGGTGCAAGGCGCACATGCTCGAAGGCACCACTGGAGATAAGCTGGAACTCGAGACACTGCATATTTCAATTGAAGAATCTGTAAAATGAACTCTCCTTAATTTTGCGAGAGAGGGTTTCAGCAAAGGCAACGTGCAATCATCTAACAACAGGGACAAGCTAGGTTCCCATCCCCCTCAAGTTCTGTTTTCCAGGGACGATATTAGAAGAGTGGTAGTTTTCAAAAGGAATCCTACTTACTTCAAGGCGACGTGAAGTACTTCTGTTATGGAGGTCACATACAGTCGAGCACAATGCTGTGATATACTAACGGCTCTTAAACGCCTGAGGTAATTGTATCAGCCGCTTGAGGTCCAATACTGAAGCTTTCGGTGCCCCTGGGAACCTTCCCTAGCATCGTTCAAACCGAGGTCTATGCCATCAGTCTGTGTGCGGTGATTCGCATTCGAAGAAATTCTCGAAGCGAGAGGATACTAATTGCGAGAGATAGTCAGGTGGCTCTTAAGGCTCTATCATCATTTGACATCAAGTCTCCTTTGGTTTTGGAGTGTGTAGAGAGGCTAGTCTAATGAAGTTCAAGTTTCAACCGGCTAAAAAATCGAGTTGATTTTTGAGAATTTTTTTTTTGTGACGGTTTTTTGCACTTTTTTCCACATAAGCATGAATTTCTTACGAAATAAAACGTAGGAGATCGTAAGCAATAAAATTTCAAAAAATCAAAGGCAATTTTTTTTTAAAATTGCACTTTTTATATAAAAAAAAACCGAAAAAGTAGCAGACTAGAATTGTATGGGCTATAAAACTGCATACCCAAAAATGTTCTAAAGATTCAGATTAAAAGGTTGAGATTTTGATGAATTTTCGCAAATTTTGTATAAAGTTTGAAACTGTGATTTATATGTTTTTGGGTAATGGGCATGGATGCTTTACAAAGTTACACTTCTGTAAACAGTTTCTGGCAAATTTAGCCAAAGAATTGGCCTCTACTGTTTGTTTTCCCCGAAGTAGAGTTCTTGATCTACAGAAATATGGCCTCTGTTCTTCGACGCTGTTCATCGACAAATCTTAGCTGAGGATAATCTCCTGATAGCCAAAAAAAAAAGTAAAAACGAATAGATGTGCATAAATGCTGCCATCTGTCTATGCTATAGGTGTCCTTGCGCTGAGCTGAGCACTTGGTAACGAGACAGATGGTAGATTTTCCGCATACATACTTATCTATAAGTATATATTTTGTGGCCCTTATAGTGCTTAGAGCTGCTTACTACAATTTCGTAGCGCCCAAGTTCATCCTCGGTCAAAGCAATTTTCAAAAGTTAAATATTTAGATTTTTATTTGTTTTAGTTTTATTTTGAGTGTTGGCCAACGTTTGTTCTCTGTGTAAACACACGCATTTTACTCAACTGTCACTTTCATCCTTGAGCGAAACACACAAAACGGGCTCTATCTGGCAGTGCTATGACGCTGTTCGACTTCGCCTTCACACGGAACATGGTAATATGCAGTAATAGGGTGTAGCATAAAGCATTCCATCAAGCTACGTGTCTGTCTCCAGATCGAAAAACGAAAACCCATATCGCTGATTTTGTGATAGACGGAAGCTCGATCCAGTGCCTTCCAAGGGCTAAACCAAAGTTCATTTCGCAACACAGGGAACGACAACCAGCGTCAACACCACTCGACCCTCACACCTGCTCTCTGAGAGAACTCTTCAACAAAGCGACTTATGCGAACAGTGGAACCACATTTCCCACTCAATAGCCGGCGAAGAACTAAACGGACTCCAGAGAGAAAAGATGCCGCCTACAGTGCCATGCTGCGATCAGTAGTAACGCGTGCTCTTGGGTTTCAATGCATAATATAAGGGCTGTGTAAAATAACGTTGAGAAATGCCACCAGATCCGTCAGAGTTGGTAACGATGCATAATATAAGGGCTGTGTAAAATAACGTTGAGAAATACCACCAGATCCGTCAGAGTTGGTAACGATCGATAGAGAAGAGACTGGGTAGGCAATTCAGACGTAAAGTCCTCTCTCGTCGTACCAAATTACCCTCCATAAGTCACTAGTTATGCCCGTGCTAGTGCATGGCACGGGAGCATGGACAATGAGGATATGTGATGGGGCGGCTTTTGGAGTTGTCGCGAGAAAGATTGCGTGTTAGCGATGGCGACTACCGCAGACGATTTAACAATGTATGAGCTTTGCAGTGCGGCTCTGCTGGTTTGGTCATGTCGTTCGAATAGAATGAAACGCTCCAGCTCTGACAGCATTCGCGATGCTGGCAACAGAGGAAGACCAAAGCTTCCTCTGCCTCGGAATGACCAGGTGGAGAAGGACTTGGCTTCACTTGGCATTTCCAATTGTTGTCAGTTGGCACAAAAAGAAACAACTGGCGTTCTTTGTTGGACTAGGCCAGAGATGGGCAAAGTGGGCCCAGAAGCCTTTTGCACTTAGGAGCTGCTTGACACATTTAGGTGGTAGATGAGGGGTAACATCAAGAGCCAGCATGAAGGGGGAAGAAGAGCGTATTCAAATTTCTAGTACTCCGACTCTCATTACTAATATATATGTATGATGCTTTTAATGTATTTTGTACACCCTTTTACCATAAGAACTGATTTAGCTCTTGCGTAGCACTTGCTGGTTCTTTGACCAAGCCCATCCCTGGACTAGGCTAATATCGTTTTGGCGATTAAACCGCCAGTTAAGCAGAAGAAGAAGAATGAACTAACAAATATTTAACCAAAATTTTTCCCACGATCTGACGGCTCGGTCAATCCGCGAATCTGCCTTTTATCAGTGTATAATTTTGATCGGATCAATTGTACCTTAAAGCGGATTGACGTTACCGTCTGACTATGCTTCTAGAGAAGAACTGCAGACCAAGTTTTGCAGGTACTTAGCGTTAGTCGGGTTTCCAACTGAATATCTGAGTTTTTTTTTCTAATTTGTTTCTCTTTCGTCTTGGAATCACTATCCCAACCAGCAGCCGGATTCCAATATTACTTATCGCCAATTTTGGTCGCCAAAAATCTTTAAAAGAATAGCAGGCGCGCCTACCGACATGCAACATCTGGTCAAATGCTCACCATATCCTCTGCCAGATTTTGTTGATCGCACATTTTATATATTTTGTTTTTTTAGAGGAATTTGGCAAGGAAAATTTAGCATAGCGATTGTCAGAATTCCACTGCAGAGGACTCGTTTCTTTTCCTGTTATACACTGTGGCATGAAATTGCGTTTGAAATATTCTTTTACAAAAATTTAAATCGAAAAAAATCAGAAAATTGCAAAGGTGGCCATTTTTTTCAGATAATTTTAAAATTCGAAAAAAAAAATGTTTGTGTTCTCCTTTTTATTTTTTATTAGTATTAGAAAAGAAAAGACCCGCCTCATAAAATTTACATTTTTCGGTGCAACGCTGCGTAGTTGTATCTGACAGCTGTCATGTCTACATACTATTTTTATTGCAGAAATCTATGAACGCATTCAACCAACTGCCAGATACATTTCTGTCCGTCCAATCGGCCCCCCAAAAAAA